CTCCATGGTACCTTTGACACTCCAGGCATGCAGGTACCACTGGATCACTTTCTTTAACTACATCCAGCAAATGTGCCCTGGTAAAATCATCTTTCTGAATCCTATGTTCCACTTCATTAAGTCAGTCTTCAAGCAATGATCTTACTATTTAAACAGAAAAAGCCTTCCGTTTTTGTTTTTTTTTTTAATTGCAAAAACTTTTGTACAACAAATAACTTATTATATAGATTGGAACATCTGTACATTTATATACAAATCTTCTAACAACTGGCAAACCAGATATGAGAAAACATCAAATGTAAGGGTTCTATTCTCTAATCCAGTTTTATTCAATCATATATTTCTAGTATAACATTTGTTGTACATGGTAAACCATAAGTGGTATAAGGATCATTTGTTGAAGAACAAGTTTGAGAGATTTAACTTGGTTGCAAGATGCACAATTTAAACCCCCCAAGTTGTGAGTGAATATCATTTGTATAATATTCATTGAATCAGTAGGTTAATTGTATGAGGAGGCTTCCCTCATCACTTCATCATACTATAATTAGTAGTATTCAATGTATTCTTTTGTAAAGCCGATGAGAACCCGACTGAACAGCAGTTTACGCTTATTGATTGGTTTTCCAAGTCTTCCTCCAACCAAGCATGAGCCTGTGCTCTAAATTTCCTACTACCTCCTCAACTAGGACTAATGACATGTTATTTAATTGCACTTTTGCATGATGGCATCCAATAAATAAAGTACAAGACTGGCTTCTTAAGTAGCACCTTAAATTATTTGGTGGTCTTGGGAGAAGTCTGCTCGCATGGCTCTAGTTCCTACTAGTAGCATATGGTTGCCAGCCATCAGAACATTTTCTAATGGTATATATTATTAATGTACTGAGAGGAGTTGAAACCCAAGCTTGTATAGAACTTTTCCACACTCTGATACCCCCTCTGTGTGTAATTGCTCTATGGTAGTTCTGAAATATTGATGCACATAGACAGAGTGTTTTAGACCAGAATTTTGGAAAATTAAATGTTTGTAAAAGATCACTCACATCAGGCAAATTCATGTTGTATTTAGATAATTTAAATATAACAATTTACAAATAAACAATTATACAAATAACAATTTACAGTCAAGTGCATGTCCTTCAGTCAAGTGATGCCAACAACTTTACTATGTACTGTATATATTTATTTATTTAATTACAACTATGTTTCTATCATCATTAGTATTTTTATTAATATTATTAAATCAAATAGAATAACATCAGTAATTATCAAAAGAATCAGACGACTACAGAACTTTGCATTAAGAGCTGGTTATCCATAATTATGTATTTATTAGTTTATATCTGTCTGATCTGTCTGAAATGGCGAAAAGTCACAATATGATATATTTATTTCTTTATGGTTGCCATTTCTATTTCTTTTTTTCTTTTGAAAATAGGCATATAATGCAGTTACTAATTCTATTTCTTTTGACTTCTTTTACTCGTGTTGTGCATATGTTTAGCTTTGAGCTTGTCTTTTGTATGTAGTTTCATTCATATGCGAATAAAAACAAAACAAAAAAATATGTACACGCTGAAATTAAAAAATGGATAAGAGTTATTGTATATGCAGTTAATCCATAAAATAAAATTTCCACCATGCTGTTGCTAACAACATTCAGTGGCAAAAATAAAATGTGAAATATTCCAAAATTAGCAGAGATACGCCCATAGTTACTATCAAACTTGAATAGGAAGTCATATACTGGCTATCTATGAGCTTGAAACTGACCTTTGACTTACTTTTCATGATAAACTTCACTTTGCAAATTTTCCGACCCTTATATATATATACACAATTAAAATTAATAAATAAATAAATAAACAAGAGACATGCAATAACCCCGACTCCGAGTTTCATGGGTATTTTAATTGTGTACAAATGCTCCGGACTGTTGAGCACTCAGTTCCACACTCACGCTTGTTTTATATATATATATATAACAAGCGTGCAGTTTTGTGTGTGTGTGTGTGTGTGTGTGTGTGTATGTATGTATATATATATATATATATATATATATATATATATATACAACTGGTTGAGTTACTGTTGAACTTGATTGGAAAGTCATACATTGGCAATCTTTCTGTGAACTTAAATTTGACATCTGACATTTTTTTCACCATGAACAGCACTTTTCAAATTTTCTGACCCTTATATCTCAATAACTAGCAGAGATACGCCCATAGTTACTTTTGCAACTGAATAGGCATATATAATATGGCAATGTTGCTATGACCTTGAATCTGACCTTTAACTACTTTTTCCCATTAACTACACAGAGATACAACCATAGAGATACAACCATAGCTATAATTGAACTTGAATAGGAATTAAGTCATATGTTGGCAATCTTACTGTGACCTTGAATTTGACCTTTGACCTCCCCCATGAACTGCACTTTTCAAATTTTCTGACCCTTGTATCTCCAAAACTGGCTGAGAATACATTGCTGCATTATTAATGTTGTTCAAAGTTGTTCAATTATAAATTAGTTGTTAATTTGTGCATTTGTGTTCCCAAATCTAAGGCTGGTGTTAGAAAATGGCAATTATCGTTTATGAGACCTGTATACTAAACATGGTGGGAATGATGAACATGGTCCAGGTACTGGTAAACCAATGAGAAGAGACAAGACATGGGATTGAATTAAAACAACCTTCTCCCTTAAACCCGATTGAATTTTCATGAACAACCACACTAGTTTATTCATTTACCATGACTAAAATGCTTTGAGACATAAAAACATGGGAAAGCTTTCAAGAATCTTAAAACCCAAAATTTGGTTTTCAAACCAGATGGTACAATGATAGATGTTGTCTTGACCCCTCCAATAGGACCATGCATATTCCAAGCAAGTATCCCCAGAGCAAAAATCAATTTTCTTATCTTAACACACAGCTCTGTTATTCCAGAATTCGGTTCAGGTGGAGAGATCTAGTGATAAAAACACACCTGTGAGTTTCCTGGTATTGATCTACTGGTACTACTTTGACAAGTAAAGAAAAGAGAAGTCCACCGCAGTTTTACATTTGGCTTTGTGGACACAGTGCTGGTCGCCATTGTTCCGATACTCAATTGGTGCAGGGATGCAGTTTAATCACTGTGATAACATTACAAGACCATTTCATAGAACAAATATAACCTACGATAAATCAGTTATTGTATTTACTTAAGTGAAAATCAGCATATAATTGTCAGTGAGACAAAGCATGACCTGAGATATAAACCTTGTGTTGTCAAGTTATTGTTTCACAGGGGGCCTTGAGACATCATCAATTTAGACAAGAAGTCACAAATTGAAGACACACATGTGAGTCAATATATGCCTCAAACAACCCAAAGAACAGATGGCAAAGGTACCACTGTGCAATTAGTGATCTCAGGTCTGCAGCAAATGTGACAGAAACAGCATGCCATATCAAGCCATTGAAAGAAGGAAACAGTTACATGATTATAAATATATATTTCAAATAAAAAATTCACTTAAACTTTCTTTTTTTTAACAGTCTTTCTTGGCTTTTTAGAGAAAATAAAAACTGGAAGCATTGACTGGCTAGTGAATGTTCTACCTGACTACAACAAATTAGAAATCAGATGGAATTATCCTGATCACTTCTAAGATAAATCTCCCTTTGGAACATCAATTCCTCCTAGAATTCTCTTGGCAATCTTGGCATTAGCCCTAACAATCCATCTTGGCAAATCTATTCCCTTAATTTGCGCAAATCAGTTTTCACAGTCCCTAGATAAAAGCTTGTTAAGTATTATTGTGAGAGTTCTACCTTCAGAGGAAAAGTAAAGCCCCAAGGGATAAGATATGTGAATTTTAGGTAGTCAGGACAGGAAAAGAAAAGACAGCAATTGAATTCATGACGTGGGTGATTTGTGAGAGTTGTGAAGTCAGATAAACCCAGATGAAGGACAGTATAAAGCCATAATAATTCCAAGAAAGGGAAAAGAGACATTACTAGTAAAAGTACAAGCTACACAAAGTTGTATAGCTTAATGCATAATTAAGTATTTGCCACTTTTTTCTCATTTATTATCTATATTCCTGCTTATTTTTCATTTAGTAATCCACCATTTCTCTTTTTTCCCTTTTTATTCTACCTAAAAAATAACAATAAGATATCTACCATGTGAGTAAAATAATCCCTACCATATGATGTCTGATCAATGCATCTCATTAGTTATGTTAAATTTGAAAATCAGGATTAAATAAACTTGTCCCCATATCTCTCATTTTTTCATATAAACAATTTAAAAAAATATCCCTTGATTACATTATTTACCTTTGCCCCCCCCCCCCCCAACCCAATTGCATGGTCCCTCCTCGCTGAGAGCTTTCAATTTCTTATATTAAGTGTGCAACACCTGGGTCTAAGATAATACAGAAGTTCTGCTGCACATCAATATTTAGCTAACTGGCAAAGCCTAAGCAATTTGCAGTGCACATTACCCAACACATACATCACATCGTGTACACACTATATCCAGGAAAGGTCTTTTATTCACACATGGAAGAATGCCCCGAACAAATGCTGTACAATGATCAGCTGATCCCAATAGAAATAGTTTCAGCGGTTGCCAGGTAACGTGCCAACAGTGTCGCGTGTCTGGCAATCATCATAATGAATCGCTACACGCACTGATGGCATCGTAGCGCGAGCCACGGATTTCGACGACGAGAATGATTATTGTCTTCTGTCTTGTCCTGTTCTTAAGGCAGTCTTTGAATCTTATACGGGTTATCTGGTACACGTGATAACAGACGCAAACCACTAGAGAGCTATTGACCATCGATCAGTTCGCCTTGTTGGAATAATCCCTCTACTAACGCATGGCACTATTAACTTTAAGCAGTCGCAAACCAAGGACCAAGCGCTATCTGACTATTTTAAGATGGTGTAAAAAAGGAATTCATTGCCAAAGCATTTATTTTCAGACATTACCTTTGTGTATGCCCGTAAAACGATCTTTGAGGACTGTTAGCTCATAGATCTGACCAAACTCTTCAAACAGGGGCCGTATGTCCTTCTCCTCTAGCGTTCTGGGGATCTGGCCTACAAAAAGTTTCAAAGCATCTCCGTCTTTCATGGTGACTGGTGAAGTTGCTATCTGCACACCGTTTAGAATGGAGCTGTTGCTGTCGTGCAAACCGTTCACCATCGCTGCCATTTTGTCTGAAGGGTCTGTGTCGTGCGAGCGCTCCCTGACACACTTCGTATTTACACGCGGTAAGCAGTTGCTTCTTCCCGTCGTGCTCTCTGGACCCAGATCGATGAAATTCATTTCCGGGTCTTCGGGGTTGGCATACATAGAACTAATCAATGCAAGAACACTGTTTGGCTCTCTCTAGTAAAGCTCAGACATACGTGATTCTGGAAGAGGCATACGTTTGTGTGATAGGCTTGTGTTCATTAAGGCAATCGTTAAGAAGGCGTGGTCAAAGGGGTTTATCAGGGGTTTGCTACCCGTGTCCGTGGCCAGGTCTATGTGCATTTGTTCGAAAATTAATTCTTTAAACAGTATTTATAATTTCATCAGACATTTCGTTCCTAATTGTTTTTGCTGAATTTCAGCATTTAAAGCTGGTATGCGATTTCGAAATCCCTTTCCTTTTTCAGAGCTTGTTTTGTTTTAAGTTTTGAAAATGAGCCATTAAAAGCTAGTCAACAACAAAATACGCATTATTTCACAAAAATATTGCCCAGTTTAATTTTTAAGCCCAATATGAACTTTTAACTTACAAAGTGAAAACGTCTTTAATTAAATCAACTTGCATTGACCGAAAAATCTATCATTTATTTCATGTTATGATGTTTTTAAACTTATTTATTTCATACTTGAACGTGATCTACATAAACGGCAGTCGGATACGTTTTGTGTGATGAGTCGATGAATACAGAGATGCTTATGATATTCCACTTTTTATGTCAACAAATTAATTTGTTTGTTATATTCTGAGTTGATGAAATAATGCCACGAACCTTAGACCTTAATAACGCAAAACCATGCATGCTACTTAAAATGAAATTTTATTCATTCTTCTTGGAGTGTCCTCTTGCATATATAAATTATGACCATATAACGGTCGTAACATCGTTGTGGTGATCAATTCAAATACCAGTCCAAACACGCAATGCCGAAATGGAGCATTTTGGGGTTTTACTTGGTCGCTCTTAGAAATCGGTCTTCGTCTGCAAATTGCTCACAGTTTCTATTTATTTAAAATAGTTTCTTGACTTGTGCCTGGAATATACATACCTGGACTTTTGAAATGTAGTCGTTTTATTAGCTTTTGAATAGCGACACTCCAAACACAACATATATAAGCTTTGTTGTTACAAATTGGTATTTGCTAGTCCCTTTTGAAGTAAGACACGGCTTGCTCAAAATGTTCCTATCTGACCCTTATGGTTTGGAATTTTGCCCCATCTTGATTTTAAAATAATAAAACGTAAGTATGCGGGTATTTCGACTAGCTAATTTATGTTTTGAATACCATTTGACTGTTTTGACCACCAGTGAGTAAAAACTTTAATGTACCAATAGTAGTATCACGACGTACCTTTGAAGCATGAAATGAAAATCCGTTCAAATATATTTGGTGGAGGGATTCTACCATATGAAAATTTTGGGACTTTTTTTATCCACCTATTATTCAAGAATTTTTTTTGTCATTACCTTTGTAGCTTGACTTATCTGAAAGCGGAACTTTGTGAAGCCTAAAAATCAAACAAAATCTTGTACAGGCCAAATTATCTTCAAAACATGAATCTTTTATTGCCATGATACAGCAATGTCAAACAACAAAAAGTTAAACGAATTGCGTCGACTTACCTATAATTTTGACGCATCGCTTAGATGTCGGATATCGATTGTAATGCCTTGGTCTGCAATTTTGTGTTAACGCTGTAATTATTCAATCTTTACATGATAAAATACAAGTCCCTGCCAAGGACAGTATAAATGAGAGCCTACTCCGTGTTCTGAGACTTAGACCCAGTGGTAAATTGACAGGCGTAGCTAGAATGCGTTTTATAAAGAACAAGAACGGCTGATTCAATCTGGTTGAAAAAAAAAACCTGCATCTTTCACAAAGAATGGCTATGATAAGCAATTATTAAACATTTAAAGTTTCTTTATTTTCGTTCTCACAGACAACTCACATTTGAAGATCGCCCCATCTCCGAAACTTGAAGAACACGAAAAAGAAGTGGGTTATTGGAATGACTAGCACTTCTCCAACTCTCTTTAAAACCGTAAAAAGGTGCTTCTTTTTGGCAAAGGGACAAAATTAATGATGTCAAGAATGATGTTTGTCGCGGTTAACACAACTATAAAACATTCATCAAATACACAGAGCCTGGAATTTCATAAAAATTCTTTAAAATGGATGCCAATTTAGAGCAATTCTTTTGTCCAGACGAAAAGGAGTAACGAAATGATATATTTAATTTATTTGGCAGACGTTTGGGAACAACCACCACCACCACACTCATTGGCCCGACAAGATAATTCTTTTAGGAAAATATATTTGTAATGAAATCTGGGCATTTCAAATGTGCACAGATTGAAAGGGGCGGAAAAAAGAAATTATTCATGAAATTAACGTCGGCGTGCGTGTTTACAGTTCTAAATTTATTTTCGTTAGCCAATCATTAATGTTATCAGGGGCCCTAGCCGACAGTCACTGCGCATAACATATTCACACTAACAATAGCTATCAGCCCCAGGGTTTTAGTCGTCTTGCCTAGAAAAGTCAAACTTGATAATCGCTTGTTATGTCAATATCCCAAACAATGGGCTGACGGCACTCCTGTTCCAATACATTATTGACCGCGTTATACTATGCAAACTTTAAAGCATCAATTCCGAGTAACATCGATCCGTAGTCTTGCTTTTTAACAATTTATCATGCTTCGTCTCAGTTTTCGCAATCTCCCCTTTCATAGGAGCAAGGTTGCTTTGTTTTATTTTAGCACACGCCGCATTGTAAACACAATGTTAATGCATACAGATCGCCCTCAGAAACTCAAATAAGGCTGTATTATAAATAAATCACCATTACTGACTTCCCCGGAATTCAGTAAAAGTCGTTTGGCTTTAATGTGCATTCTGAAGCTTGATAGTTAGTCTGCATTGCTTTCCGCTCGAAAGTTTACAGTAAAATCCGTGAACAAGTTTACAGTAAAATCCGTGAACAAAAACATTTCACGATCAAACTGAAAGACCTCGAACAAAGACTAACTTTGTTCAATTATCAGACTACAGTGTTTAAATCTCGCTAGCTTTTACGGCCTTTAGATGACAAAATAATATAGATTTAGCCGCGTCAGTCTTTAAAAGGACACTGGAGGTGAACTATTGTCGCAAAGTACTCCTCGAAAAGGATTTTGGTTTGGCTGTGCTTTCGATACTTTCCCTGTAAGCCTAGTTTATAGTTTGCCTTGTCCTTTCATCCAAATTAAACCTTTACAGCGAGTTTAGTTTCTTACCATACCATACGCAAGTCATAAAATAGTACCAATTATATATATATATATATATATATATATATATATATATATATATATATATATATATATATATATAAAGGATTCGGAAACAAAAGGTAAATGCGCCGTTTAAAACATTGTCTATTCCGATAAAACCTCTGTTACAGAGCTCTACCAAGCAACTATCTATTCTTCTAACGTAGAAAAATGGTTTCTTCAAGATTTCAACATCAATTCAACATCGTTTAACAGACTCAGCACGCCTCTACAAATTATACGTCGATAATAAAATGTTTGGGTTGTAAGCAAACTATTAGGTTTTCATGAGAATCTCACTCTTTCAATGCTAGGATCCAAGCATCTTGGATTCTATTTCAATGTAAACAAGAGAGAACGGCAATCCCACCGTCAGGTATGCCAATATAGTTATTTTTAGAGTCAATGGAGAATCCATGTTGTGACGTCATCGGGCAGTGTGTTTGGCCGCACGTATTCCCTGACCTTACTGTCGTGAGTGAAAACGGAGAAACGAAACCTGCGACACCGTCCCTAGCAGCTGGATATTTGGTTAAAGCTAACAGAAGACAGGTTTGTAATACTCGTAGATAAAAAGGGATTATATTTCTTCAATTTTAGCGTAAAATGGAGTAGTTAATCTACAGTACATGTAGATTAACGAGGATGACACCTAAAATACAGTAAGAAGAATGACTATGTTGCAGCATTCGGGAGCAACAAGGGTTTGATTGAAAATGTTTTTATTTTCTTTGCTGTGGCTGCTATACTGACCGGATTGTTTTCTCAAAATGTCGCCACTAATGTAAAACGGCTTTTATTGCAGTCACAATCGAGGGAACTCTAAACGTGGTCGTGAAGGTCAAACGGTGACATTTGCAAAAACACAAGGAACATAGCCAAGACGCCATTAACTATTTTGAGAGCTTTTGCGTGTTATTCCTGACGTCCATTTTGCAAAATACCATTAAACTATGTGTGTTTTACATACCCTTTTCATAGCTATTATTGTGTTTAGAAAAATTTGGAAAATGCCAGTTAATTACAGGATAATAGTGTTTTTTTTCGCTCCAGATTTTAGGTGGTACCTGTCCAAGATGGGTGTACTTGTTAGATATGTGTGGAAGTCACTGATGACTGCCAGAAAGAATCACAAAGATGTAAGCTTTTCCTTTAATTACCAAGTTAAAAATAGACATTCCTCCTGCTTTATATTGACGTCAAAACTTTTTTCAGTGTATTGTACTGATGATGTTTGTGGTATTGAATTTTGGGCTGAAAGGCCATATATTTCTGAACAAAATCTATCCAACAAAATTAAGCCATCTTTGCAGATTTTTTTTTATTAAAAATAGTTTTATATATCTTTGAAATGAGTAATTTAAAGCATTATCTGATAGTTTAAGTTCAAGGGGGTTGAACTCTCAAGTTGGAATTACATCGAGTACATTGATAATTTTGTTTTTTTTTTTGTCTCTTTTACACAGCACACATAATATTATGTGAATGGGTTACTACACATCTTGGCTTTCTTCATCCTAAATATTGATAACGCAATTTCGCGCAGTCCCTCGTGGTTGCTATGATACAGCATTGCTGCCATCTTGTAGTTGCGAACACAAAGGTTTGCATTAACACGTGGAAATTTGTTTCGGGTTTTCAGTACCTTTTTCCTGTTACCTTAAAAAAACGGCTTCTGGCGTTTGTCTTCTATACTTGTCATCATGTCCAAAATTGTAATGATCTCATCTATGTTGATATATAACTGCTTTATTAAAGCAATGTATCGGCCAATTCATGTGTGGTGTCATTTTCCAACGAGGACCGATATTGAGAGTAAACACATTATCAATTTACATCCCCAAATTCGAGCAGGCAATAGCCGGTAATGTATCAGTGTTGATGTCAACTTTGATCAAAGGATATTAAAAGCCTCCCAGATGCATTTTTGTGTGTCACAAATGCATGTGTGGTGCCATTTTGCAACTAGAACCCACATTGAGCGTAAAAAAATATTAATTGGCATCCCCAAATTTGCTCAGTCATTAGCCGGTAACATGAACATATACATGCAGTTTACAGCAGTGTTGATGTCTACTTTGATAAAGTGATATTAAAAGGCCCATGGGTGTGTTTTTGTGTCACAAATGCGTGCGTGGTGCCATATTGCAACGAAAGCCGATATTGAGAGTAAAAAAATATTAATTATCATTCCAATAATAATAAAAAAAAAAAAAAACAGAAGCAAGAAGCATGAATCTATATATAAAGTACACAGCATTGTTGACATCATCTTTATTTGAAAGGTATATAAAAATACCAGCCTGAAAGAAATGTCAGTGAGCCTAAGAAATCAGAGAGAAATTGCGTCATTTTAATTCAAGACGTGATTGAAAGTATCATTATTGTCGCATCTCAGGCTAATTTCTCACATAGAGAGAAAATTTAGAAGATAGAAATATTTTCCTATCGGACTATAGCTAAAAACAAGTATGCTACACTACAATTATACAATTTTGAATGCTCATTTTACAGCAACAAACAAGATTGCCTTTACCACATAGGGCATTTTGAATTCCCCCTAGAACAAACATCAAATTCTCACATAGCTTCCAAATTGTTAGAACAAATTGTACTTATACTTAATCTGTATAAGTTTATTGTCTCATTCCCCCGAAGGACTGCCTCACGTTATCGCCATCTACCTATCTAAATAACACACAAAGTCATTGATAACCTCGATATGCTTGTTACCTTTGCGGGAGGTCACATGATCCGAACACTCATGGCTAAGCCAATATTATCCTTTGATCTTTCTCCGTGTTTCTAGTCCCTTTGATATTATGTCCAAATTGAAACCTACTGATTATACAACAGTGAGACAATATCAAATTTGGTTTGTGCCAATATTTTGGTCCGTTTCCCCAACTATTTGTATCCACATATTTATTATACAAAAGATCTTCATTATTTGCTATTCCAGGCCTTCATTGTGGCAGTGTTGTGTGGTGTAGCAGGGGGATTGTCAGCAGTTTTCTCCGCATATGCCCTTTCCGCATTCCCAGACGTGAAGTGAGTAAAAATACTAGGTGCAATGTAAATCATTCCTACCAAATTTACCATTAAATATGTTAAGGTATTAGCCTTGTACTGAAATGCAGGTTCAACAAATTGTGGTTTAAATTGTTTATTGTACCACCAGTGCACCGCTGGCAGTATACATGGTTTTAGTCCAGACCAGACTCGTCCACCAGTTCCGCTGAAATTTCATCTTTACCGCTTCTCCTCCAAGACTACAAGGGCCTGTGTATCCATCTCTTGGATTTAGGTCACACATAATCTCATCTCGATCCACATAAATTTTTGGCTTTGTCGATGCACGGGTCTAGGCATGGTGCTCGTAGCAATGCACCCTTGTCAAAAATTTGCAAAATTAAAGGCTAAATATCTCCCAAACCATAGGAATTATGGGAAAATTTTCTACAGATGGCTGACCAAAAGTCATATGTGGGGATTTCAAATATTCCCTTGGATATGACCTTTGACCTTTATTTTAAGGTCAAACGGGCAAAAATGCGAATTTTATTCATGCCGATTTTCAGAAACTATGCAGACCTTACCTTTAATATCATGGGCAGGTTTTACACTTACGTTCAACTTACATCTTCTTGAGTTTGAGGTCATTCGGTGCATTTCCATGGGAGAAGCAGCCACAGATGCCAAAACTGAAAATTCTCTCTAATAGAGGGTATCGGAGGAGACAGGATTGTGCTGGAAGTATGACGTCATGTGACATTGAGTGGTCATTTTTAGATGGAGGTGGTATGTGCTGTAATCATAGCTATGTTTTTGGTCCTTGAAGGACCTTGTGAAAACCAGGAAGTAGTTGGTAACTGACAACTGAATCTTACTTTTTAATTTGTGACGAGATGATTGGATGTCCACACTTCACTTATGAACAAAATAATTGAGAACTCCTGTTACCACATTTTGTAGAACTTGCCAAGCACAACACTGGAAGTGGTGTCCCTTTTTTTTGTTTTGCATACAAATGCGCTTACCAGCTGATGGTACAATACCAGGAGGCAGTATCGTCTCTCTGATCCTCTAGTTTTTAAATAATTTTTCTGTAAATATTAACAATATCCATACACAAATTTGTATGTGAAGCTTGGAAGGGATGCGAGTATAGTAAATTGTAAGAAAGATTTTGGGGTTGTATCATATCTAAGTACTAGTAACACATAAATCTGGACATACAGTCTGAGAAATTTACTCCAAATTAGTATACCAGAACTGTCTTCTTTACACAGGAAACATGACATTGTGGACAGTTCATGCTACTTGTTATTGTAAACATCTAATAATGTGTTATTAATTTTTTTAGGCTAGATAAGACTCTTGGACCAAGCCCTTATCAAAACCCCAACAGAGGAAACACACGGGTAAGCCTTGAAATTTGTCACATACATGTACACCTTCATTTTAACAGATTTCAAATTCATCTAAAAGTGGATAACATGTCATATTTTTTGGTTGTGTTTGTTTTAATTAAATTTTTATTATAATCCAAATTGTCCGCCAATCTTTCTATCTTTCTCTATTCGGATTATAAGAAGAATTGAAAGATTGACAGGACAAGTCTGTACATTAGTGTTCATCGTGACTGGCACAAGTATTAAATACTTCACAAAGTCATTTTTGGTTCACAGAACTCTGTAACAGCTGACTTAGGCACCGTTCACATGTAAAATCTATATTCTAAAAATCCATTGGTGGTATCTAGTGATCACGGTCTGTGCCCCGAATTCCCCACGGCGTAATTAACTAGCAGAGCAAGCGAGTTACTTCCAAAGCTGTAATTAATTCTTGCCTGTGCTCGGAGGAGATTCTGACACCTTGACGCATGCGCAGTACTAAGTTAGAGAGAAAGAAATGGCAGTTGCGGTTGCTTTGAAAAATGTGTTTGTCGATTTTGAGCAACAACAAGACGAAGAAGATGAGGTCCATATACACACGACAGATATGAGTGCAATCTGATAAACTCCACAGTTTAGAAATACTGCTGTGCATGCATCAAGGGATTTCACAAATGGGCATTCAGTTATCTGCATTTCGTGGTAGCATAAAGGGCATGTGATATATTTGAAATTGAATAAGCTGGCTTGTGTGGACCTTGAATCATAGGCTTAATCAATTTCAACTTCCAAACATAGGTTGCCTTAAATTGAACATTTTTGGAAGTAGGAATTAGCCCAGTAAAATAGGATAAAACAATTATATCTAAATATCACTGATTACAGTCCTAGACCCATGAATTTTAGGTCAGACCTGTGATGTTATCACCAAACATAATATTGAGTCAATGACAAGTGACATTTTTGTCATCAGAGAAAATATGAAAATATTCAATCAGATGACAACAATTTAAATTTTATTGCAAACCTCAGAAAAGTGCTGCATCTTGTTCAATTTCACTTTCTTGAGGTCTATAAAACCACATATTAACCTCAGCCGGAGTCTATAATTGTATATTATTTGTACCGCCAGCGTAGGCGCTGGCGGTACACATGGTTTTAGTCCTGTCCGGATCGTTCTGCTGGCTCTGCTGCCATGTTACCGTTACCCCTTCTCCTCCTAGACTACAAGGGCCTGCATACCCATCTCTTGGATTTAGGCCACCTATAATCTCAACTTGCTCCACATAAAATTTGGGCTTCGTCGGTGCTGGGGTCTAGCAATGCACCCTTGTCCAAAATTGGCAAATTTAAATGCTATTTATCTACCATACCGAAGGAATTATGGGAAAAATTTCTGTAGACGGCTGACCGGATCCATATGTGGAGATTTCAAATATGCTTTTGGATTTGACCTTTATTTCAAGGTCAAACGGGCCAAAATTTTCAAAAAAAAACGAAATTTTTTACGAAAAAAAAATTATTTGCGCTAATATTCAGAAACTACACAGAATTCAGAAACTATTGCAATTGATCATTATATCTCAAAAACTGGAAAAAAAAAAACGCCCACAGTTACTATTGAACTTGAATAGGAAGTCATATACTGGCAATCTGTGACCCTGAAATTGACCTTTGACATAATTTTCTTTCCCTTATATCTCAAAAACTGGCAGAGATACACCCAAAATTACTGTTGAACTTGAACAGGAAGTCATACACTGGTTATGTAACTGTGACCTTGAAATTGACCTTTGACCTACTTTTCAAGATGAACTGCACTTTGCATGTTTTCTGGCTTTTAAATCTCCAAAATTGGCAAAGAAATGCCCATGGTTACTATTGAACTTGAATAGGAAGTTGTACACTGTGACATTGAAATTGACCTTTGACCTACTTTTTCACCATGAACTGAACTTTGTGTGTTTTCTTGCCCCTCATATCTTTAAAACTAGCTGAGATATGCCCAGTGTTGTTCCTAGGATTTCTCTTTTGTCAGCATATATGCATCACTGACAACACATTTCAAGAAAAACCTATAGCCCTATTTTCTAGAAAATCACAGAAGTGATCAATGTTAGGAAAATACAGGTTTTTTTTGCATATTTTGAGAACTTGTTGATTGTATTTTATAGAGCTTGACAAGCACAAGACTGGTGGTGGTGTCCCTTTTTTTGGGGGGGGGGGTTAATACGAATGCACTTTCTCTAGCTAGTGGTACAATATCCGGAGGCGGTATCACCTCTCTGATCCTCTAGTTATTTGTTGTTTTGATTCCAGCTTTTAGAGGTCTCAAATAGTGCCAAGATGACTAAGATGTCTGCAGAAATGCAGGAGCTGAGGCAAGAGATCGCAAAGGCATACCCAGAGAATACAAGAATAGAATTCCAATAATACATGTAGAATTTACTTGCATGCATTAACATCTACTATCCTGACCACGGAAATATGAGATTTTTTTACAACTTGCTGCAGAGCACAGGACTTGGAAATCTCTATCTTGAAATGTTGGTGCACTTCATGGACTGAGGAACTCATGATAATTGCTAATATATATTTCTTGATATTAAAGATTTTTTGGAGCCAATTCAAAATACCCTAGAAGTAATAAGAGAAAATAATGTAACTAGTAGAGACAACATTAAAGACTAGCCAGGTTGTAATATAATTATTGTGATTAATTGGTTGTAATATAAATACAGTAACAATAGTGAAAAAAAAACTTAACATTTATTCATCACAGGTTTGTACACATTTCTGGAAAATTTGCATTAGCATTCAGTCGAATGAACATGTTATATTACGTAAACCTATTTCAGTTACTATTGCTACTGACTACATGCATTTTGTTTGTTCTGAAGTGTTTCACATTTCATATGTTAAGCAATGCATGTTACATACCACGTGATACAGATCAAGTTATCTAGTTCTATCAATCTTGCACCTCAGATTTCATATCTCAGCTCTTTGCATCATTAATGGGATAACAACTATTCAATTTGGCAAAAAAAAAAAAAAAAAAAAAAAAAAAGGATTTTCCTGGGGTAAACAATTTTCCTATGCTTACCAATGGTTAATGAATGATCAATCTGAACTGACATTCAAAGTAAGTCCCTGTTTTTTTCCCTAAGTTTTTTTAATAATCTCTTAAGAGATTATTAAAAACTGAACCATCTATGGAGGTCACGTGGTCTAATGGCAGGCAAATTTTAGAATAATTACGAGTTTTTACTTTTTGGTGGTAACATAGAATTTATTATATTTCTATAAGTTGTTTACAATGTATTAATTGTGAAATATGGACCTCATATGAAGAGTTGTTACCCCTTTAAGTCTGAGTGAAGTTCTTTTTCTTTATGCAGCATTTTCACCTGGTTAACTGCAAAACTGTTAAGATAAAATTTAAGATACTTAAAAGTTGAAAGGTAGAGGTGATATTTACATCTTTTAAGTTGTGGTGGTGCTTTTTGGACATGTACAACATTTAATGGATAATGGTCTACTCAAATTACATTTCTATGTTATGTGTACAAGTAACATAAATAGAAGGGAAGTTATTTCATATTTGTTTTACCTTATTTCTGTGAAATTCGGTGGATGAGGTTTTTAAAATGTAAGTAGTACATTATAATTCCCTCATCAACAAGCAAACTAATTTAATAAAGCATACTTTCATGGAAAGTAAAGGGGCATTTTGTATCAGTATTGTGTTTTGTAATCAACTTGTGTCAATCAACATAGTTTGAATAAGCATTCATTCCAATTATTAATTTTCATAAATTGTGAAAATGTCAATATATATCAGAAGCTGAAACTAGCTACAGAATAGTTATACAAAAACTTACAACTGTAAAGAAATTCTTAGATTACTTGTCCAGAAGAGTTTTCAAGTAACTTATATGGTTTGCCTATAAAAATGAAAGTCGGTTCTCAAGTAGCCAAACTATTTGGAAACTAGCAGCAACCACTTAAAGACACATATTAAGTGAGTACATACTAACTTTGACCAAATGGCACCATAAAGTTTCAAACAGTATAACATTACTTAAAGTATACAGATATATTAAAATTGCCAAAAAATATTTTTTACTATTTCCTTAATATATAATTCAATTATCTAGATACTTTTAGAGCAAAAATTTCCCTTTTAATTGTATTATTCACCACCCCTTGCACTTCTGCTTTAAAGATCTGCCCCATTTATCCTAAACTAATTCCTTGCCAGGGTATGCTTTTGAAATTTTTTGTTCATAAGATGAAAGTCCCTAATATAAATGTTCTGCCAAACAAGGACATTACTAGGCCTCCTAACTATTAAAGTTAGAACTGATGAAGTGGGATGGATAAGTAGGTCAAGTTTACAAATTTTAAATTGTATTCTGGGCATGAAAACTGCAGTCAATGATCCAATATTTGTAAGTATTATACAAAAACACAGAAATGGGCCAACAACTCCACTTTGAAGTGAAAAGCAATGCTGTATTACCATAGTATAACTAGTTTGTTTTGCTTTGACATTGTGGCATAATACTCGAGTTGTTGTCACAGACAAATAGCTGTGCAGACTAGCCACTCATAGTCCAGGTAATATCATTAGAGTTTGAACAAATAAAGACAAATTTAACTTTTCCACCTTGTGGAAAACAACACGCTGCTACTTATAGAGGGAAAGCAAAGGTTTCATCATATCAACCACATCAAAAGTATATTAACAGTGTTATATCTATCTCATAAAGAATACTTCCTCTAGGACCCTAGATTCCTCTTCCTCGGCAGCTTGAACATCATCCTCAAACTCCACAATTCTGTTACCAAGAGGCCTTGGACTGTCTCCATTTTCTATAGATTCCACTATGTCTACCACTGACATTGCCTTGGAGCTGTAATTGAGATTGACATTTTGTTGATAAAAGTGTATCTGGTTGCTGATGATACTTCATTATAAAGGATCCTGTTAAATTTACTACATTTATTGTTAACATTAATTTTGTCATTCTAAAATTAGCACATTATAAAAACTTCTAAAGAGTTAGTCAACATATTTGATTTAGTGGAATGGCCATGATTACAATACCATTGAAGTCATGACTACAATAGAATACAACTGATACCATGATTATAATCTTATAAACAGTAATAAACCCATAAGTAAAACAGGTATTTGTTTCCAATAATCCCCTTCAGACTTTTTGTTCATTTTATGGAATTTAGCATTTACAAAAAAAAAACAGGAGCTTGTCAATGTTACATGGAGCCATCTTACTTTCACTGTGTTCAACACAAACACTAGCAGTAACAACTGAAAGCACACATAATTTACATAGATCTTTATGGTGTGTAAATGCAAATTTTTGTCTTTTTTGCTCTAGTACATAGAACGCCATCAATAGTTAAAAGGTGTCAACATGCCAGCTTCACAACCAATTTACTTTACATAATTCTCTACCGCTTAACCTCCTTAATGACATTCCTTTTTTAAACTTGTAATATAATACTATACTTCCTAACATAAATTATGATAAAACATAAGGTAACAAAGAATTAAAAGAAACCCTTTGTACCTAACAGGGGAAGTCTCTGCAGTTCTCTTCATGGGGCTCGTTTTCTGCCTGTTTAAGTGAAGAGGCAAGTTTCCCTGCTTGTATGTTTTCACTACAGACCTAAGGGAAGAACAAGTTTTTTTACACCGTACAAAATGGAAAGTTGTGTTGTTGATTTCTTAGAAATATAAGTTATAAATAAATTAATAAATTGGAAACAAAGCTTATATTTAGTAAAAGCAAGTAAAATATTTAAAAATAAATACTATGGAAATGATAAAGACCATGGAAATGATAGCCAGAATAAAGCTATTTTCGTTCATTAACTATGTACTTAATGAACAAAAAGTGACGAAAATTTATTGGGGCAGTTGATAATCAATTCAGCCCAAACTCACCTCTGTGCTGGAGACATGACTTTCATGAAAGAACTTCTCTGAGGGGATGTTGCATTACCAGCAGCCCGCTCAGGAGAGATAGGAGATGTAGCTACAGATGTCAGATTGGAACCTACAATAGAATTTTATTTGAAGCAATGTTGCATGCCTGTAAACTTGTCACATTTTTCAGCTTATTTCAGGAAAATTGAATCTGAAAGATAGAAAGTCAAACTGAGCTTTCTTTAAAGAACAAGAACATTTCACAATTTTTTTAAATTGCCTTAAACAGTGAGATTATTAGTGTTCAATGGAAGGACTGAAAGATACCACATGTCAGCAATGTATACAAACTGGCTATTGCAGATCATACCCACCTCCTTCCTGAAACCTGTCCTCCAGTCTGCTACGAGCCCTACTGGACCTCAAAGGTGACGTGTCCACTCCATGATTTTCCAAGAATTCTAGGTTCTTATCAGTATCAGAAATATCTCCTTCCATTTGGTCTGACACAGGTGATTGAGCTTTGTACTGCCCAGCACCAATTGGGGCCTTCCCTTCAAGATTTGATAGAGGCTGAGGAAACTGTCCTGTTTTTTCAAAGTGCATCAGCCTCTGCCGCTGCTCCAACTGTCTGTTGTGAAGCTGTTGTTGTTTTTGCTTCAGCTGCCCCTCTTGTTCTGCCAAGATCTGGCGTAGTCTGTTCTGTTCTTGTATCAAATTTGCTTTCTGTGCGAGCAGTTCTCGTTTTCTCTGCTCAGGGGTGAGTCCTTTATAATACCTGATAAACCCTTGTTCGTTCAGGTGGTCATGAAAATTTGTAGATATTGGAGAGTTGGAGGGTTTTTCAGGGTCCTTGAAACCCTGGTAACCTGCTGCTACAGAAGACTGATCATTTATCTGATCATTGTCCACTGCTGTAGCAGGAAAAGTGTGTCTAATGGGTCCTATTTGAGACATCTGGTTAGCAGCAAATGTGACCCTGGGCGGCCTAGTTAACTGACCACTGTGGTCAAGCATAGCTGACAAGTGGGCCCCTGGGGCATCATTTCCATACATAGACCCAGAGCTCACATGTGAAGTGGACGATGAACCTGGTACCAGAGGCTCAAATTCACCAGCTGCAGTCCTTGATTTCTGAGACTGTTGGAAGCCATCACTCCTCTGTGTGCTGGACATAATAGGGGCCTGCAGAGGCCCATTACCTCCTCTTACATTTCTATTCTCAGGGATATACTCACTGTCTGAATCTAAGCCATGTCTGTTATAGTCGTACCCTGTGCTAGCTTTCCAGTCATACTGATAACCTGGATGCAATCTGCCCCCAACACCTCCAACATCAGCAGGAGGCCTTGAGCCAAAGTTCATATCCTGTGGCTGACTTACAGATACATTTGGTTTATCTTCCTGACTAAACTGTCTTTCTTGAGCAATTTGTTGGTCTATAAAATGTGTATAAGGGTGTGTTTCGGCTGCCTGCACTTGCTGTAGCCTTCCTGTATAACTGGGCATCTGGTAGTTAGAGTGCTGCCTGTGGGTAGGTGTGTATCTCTGGACATCAATAACCTGTAACAGCAGTAGGTATATAAAACTGATAGGTCAAAAACCTAGAATAGTAGCATGCAAAACAAGAAGTGATAGGTCAAATATATCATCTTAAGATACTGTACTTATACATCTCCAAAATATCAAAAAAAAAAAAAAAAAAACAGTTCTGGGAACTGTGTCAAGAGGAAACAATTATATCTGACCATGACAGACACAGTGATGGCTATATGTCCAGACAAATAGTGACTGTCCATAAAAAGAAAGGACTAGGTCTTAAATCTCAATAGCCATGTGGTCTAAATGTTCACTTTCCAAAATGATATCTCACCTCATGTGTTCCTCTGCCAGGAGTGCTGACCGGCCCCATAGTAAGCCGTGTGGTGGCCATATCTACACGTCTTTGTACTGGGGGTGGATCAAAACCATGGAATTCATCTCTCTCTGGGACAGGTTCCTTGGCAGTCTGGGAGATGGTTAACATAAGATTAATATGACCCAAACTAGGAGTGTGCAATTTGGCCCAGGTCTCTGGTCCCTTCACTGATCTTATTTACTTTTAACACATTTCTATCAGTCAATACCATTGGGGAAATACTTATTATTTTTGCTTATAGTCAAATAGCAATCTACAACAAATCTTATCTGTTAAACTTAAAACAAATAGTTGACAGAAAAGATTTCCTTTAGCAAAAAACAAAGAATTCACAGAAAAAAACTAAATGTAATAAGCTTGTATGAGCACAGTATGCCATATGTTTTAACTTGTGAATAACACTCCATCTCATTGCTTAACATATAAATTTAGGCTAAGCAAATAAAGCTATCAAATGCATTTCATATGCAAAAAGTAGTTAATACCTTTGGCGGAGTCAACATCTGTGTGAGAGAGTCATCCAGCTGTTTTTGCTGATCCATCACTTGTTTCTGATATTTCAGCAGCAAAGCCTGGGTGTCAAGGAACTGCTTCTGAAGCTGTGGTCTGTGTTAAGAAATACTATCATACATACATACAGAAATAGACCAGGTTTCATCATCATGCATAATCATTAATTTTTTGCACCATTTCTTTTTTTCTCTTTGATCAAACAAAGTACTTCCACACATGAGAAACATTCAATATTATTATTAGTACCAGACCTTAATCCAGTTTGGCAAAAAGACATCTACATACCAATATCCAAAAACAAGTGCTTATCTGTCCTTTTAAACTTGGAAACCTTCATAAATTTTAGTAAAAAAAAGGGAAAATATTGACTGACAAAAATTATCTATAAATCAGATAATGGTCACATCACGCTCTACTTTTTTTTGTTGAGTAATAGTTAGGCTACGATATCATCTTTTCTTTTCATAATGTTGTTTTATTGGATAGTTCATAGTTACAAAAGGATATCTTCCCTTTCTCTTATAATTTGTTGTTTCTGTCTCTCAAGCTCAGCCATTTGCTTCTGGTATCTGTCCCTCTCTCCCTGCAGTTGCTGCTGGGCACTGTCCTTCTCTTCTCCAACCCTGCATAACATTTGCATAACTCATGTCCATAAGGCTATTAGAAATGCAATACCACATTTGGGGCAATTTCAAAAGGCTATGACCTAAGGTAAAACTGCTACACTTTCTTCTCACATGGCAACTGATTTTTACTGACTTTGAATGATTTGATAGTCTTTTAACCAAACCCAGCTGACTCGTCCTCTTGACAGAAAATTACAAGTTCTATTTCACTTCTGTTGTCCCTATACTATGTAAAATTTTAAGAAATTGTTCTATCTTCAGTATTTTAACTTACTTTGCCAGTTCTTTGATCAAATTTGCAACTCTCTTTTTATCCTCTGGTCGCAAATCCTTCAATGAAGCAGATCTTGCATGTTTTGGACGTTTCTGCCACACATTTTCTTTCTCTTCCCTAGACTGAAACCAAACTGACCTTTATTTGATCTCATTTACAAATATTTTTAACAAACTGGGAATATGCAGATAAAAAAAGCACCATTTAAGCTCCCATTATAAACTATGTATATGGCTTCATTAAAGATTTACACCATTTACCTTAGATTCTCTATCACGGTCACTTTTTGTCTTCCTATCTGCTGAGGAATTGGCTAATTCTTCAACAACTGGTGGCCCTTTGGGCACTTGTGGTCTTACTTCCCTGGTTCTTTGACCTGTAATCTTTCTCTGAGGTCGAAGATTACCCATATTTTTTACCCCTTACAAGTAAATTGAAGAATCACTTAATGAACAATTGTAGCTTTATTAATTAGCATTAACACAAACTTGCCACTGATCGTTTTAACATTTGAATACTTTAACATATGGCAAAGAGTATTCCTTGTGCAAAGGTCAAGTAATTATAGCAATTATCTTATTCTAAAAGGACATATACCAAATTTTATGTGAAAATTTATTCTAATTGATTATGTAGCCCACACTGCTTTTAGTGGCTTTACATGCAATCCAGTCATACTACCTGTAACATCGCAATACAGCACAATACACTAGAAAAATTAATGTGAATAAACAGAGAGAATGATCATTTGCAAAAAAAAAAAAAAAAAGGTGTTATAAAAGTGAAAAATATTGCTGGGTCATTGACCTTGTTGTTCCAACTTTAGAAATTGTTATGCTTTATGTTTACGAATATTATCACATAATTTTTCCAGTGTATTGGGCATTTAAGTATGACCCTTTATTACCTGGTACATCAACAACTGCTTCACCTGTCTCTTCTATGTCTGAATCTAATATAAAATAATTATGCTTAATAATATTGAGCACTTAGTGAAGCTTATTTTATAACAAACTTAAATGTAGTATATATATATATAAATTTTCGAAATTTATACATGTAAATTGTAAGTTGTGTGCTGGTGCAATGCCGATTATTACAGCTATATTATTGAAATTGTGTGTTTTTACCTGACAAAAACAAGGCCATTTAAAATTAACAAAATCTAAAAGAGAAATCACAGGCTCGATTTATTCAAACAAATGTACTTGCTGCCTGTATGGAAACGACGCGTACGAGTGTACTGTGAAAATAAAAAATGTATCAATATCAAAGGACATAATTATAACATTCCAACTGTCTGTAAACATCTGACATTCAAATTTCCGACGTAACCTACCAAATTTTGTCCAAAATATTTCCATTGCACGTCCTCTGCCATATTCCGCCATTTTGAATAAATGCGCCAAGGTTTGTACGCATGGGCAGTCTCTCCCCCAAGGACAGGAGAGAGTTCGTGAAAAAATGTGTGATTTTAGTCATATTGCTGGGTAATTGATTTTGTTGACCCAACTTTAGAAATTGTTATGTTTTGTTTATGAAAAAAATAAGTTAATATGCCCAAAAGTTATTTGCCACTGGTTATTTGCATAAGCCATTTACTTTTCCACGAGGCATTTGCCACACTTTCAACATAACGTCCGCACCGTAGACTCCATTTCGTTTAAGAAAGAGACGGAGAGTATGTCCAGAACGAGGATAGAGAGCACATATGGCCTTCGAGGACACGTTCTGAGTGTTTACCGTAGAGTAGACTGTAAGGATAACATTGACCTAGGTCAAAGTGCAAAACAACCATGGCTGCTGCAGGAAAACTCTTTTCGGGTCGGTTCCAGTTGTTGAAATCTTTGAACCACCATAGCTCTGCAAAGTTTTCCACTGGCCGTCACTTATGTGCACAAAAAAGTTATGAGTTGTTGATAGTGGGCGGCGGGACGGGCGGAACGGTGATTGCTAACAAATTCGCCCCGAAACTTGGATCTGGTAAAGTTGCAGTTATTGAACCCAGTGATGTAAGTAGATTAGTTACTTTGAAAATCAGTTTATATTTTCCTGTTTACTGCATTGATAGCATATATACTTAATTCATCTACGAGATAGTTCTATCACAGGTTTCACTTTCATCATCTCTTTTTCAGCTACAGGTTATTGAAAGTTTTTTCTTTTGAAACTAAATTTGCTGCCTTCAACAAAACAGGATTTTGTTGCTTAATCTTTATTATTTCTGCTCAACACATGAAACTATATGTACAAGAGCTCTGCCCTCTGGCTGACAACCCACACAGCAATAGTTAACTGCTTGCTCACTTGGTGCATAGCGCCTGTACCTGTATTAATACTCTCCCAGAGGTTTCCCCCAGGCACGTTCTGGCTGCAAGAAGAAGAAGAAATCCCTGGAAAGAGCAGCTAAGGTTGCAGTGCAAACTAAGCAGTGTTTTGATCACAAAAGGAGGGGATGCTGTAAGCTGTTACTAAAATTAAACAGGGCTGGCTGTCAGAGGTCAATTTACCTGTTACCTAAGAGAAGTGAAAATGTACATGTAGAAACTCTTCACTATATGTAGCTGGATAAATCATGCCTTTAAAAACTGCTTTGAACTGTTCTACTGATGGATGCTGGTGTAAAAACTATACTTTAAGTGAACCCTGACAACTAGCCATCTGAAAAATCTGCCCACAAAATGCGATAAAAATGTTTGACCTTTCTGTAGTTATGTGGATGGCTAACTTTATTTAAAAATAAAATTTTAATCCAGGGATCTTCATTTTTATCATGCCCCAAAATTTTTTGCTAAGATCTGATATTTACACAGTTTTATGATGTTAATACTAGGAACTAGATACGATGATGACCATGATAAATAAATAAATAAATAAATAAATAAATAAAAATTGTTTATATTCCTCAGACACACTACTACCAGCCAATGTGGACACTGGTAGGTGGAGGGATAAAGACACTGGAAGACAGCAGTCGGCCAACCAAGAATGTGCTACCAAAGCAATGTGACTGGATTAAACAGAAAGCAGCATCCTTTGACCCACATAAGTGCACTGTAACTACAGACAATGGAGATGAGGTGATTGATGCTGGAGGTTTCATGTGTTGATATAAGTGAATTTTATTTTAGTGATACCATGGACTATCGATAAATGCTTATTTCCAAATTATATAAGTGTCAGATAAATAATTTTTAATTGATGATTTTCTTTGCAAATAACATTTTTTCTTTTCAGATAAAATATCAATATTTGGTTGTGGCCATGGGAATACAGCTCAACTATAATAAAGTAGGTTGGGTTTTTGGCATAAATGCATATAAGCATGACTTCTTTACATGATGAATCATGAATGTAGGAATTCCTTTTTCTTCTGTGTGGATTTTCAATTGGAATAGCAGTGTTTTTGCCTTATGTTGATACCCTAGATGGGCTCATAAGGTGAACATTGAGGACTTTTATTTAAGTATTAAAGCAGATACCTGCTCAGTGTGCAATTACAATTTGTTTTTATATTCACTGATTATTAAACCATTCAGTTTTTGTGAAGCGATTTATTTAATTCAACATGTTTTTTTTTTTTTTTTGGTAGATAAAAGGCCTCCCTGAAGCTTTTGATGAAGATCCCATGCTGACCTCCAACTACAGCACGGATTATGTAACCAAGACCTACAAAGCCCTGAATGAGTTCCAGGCAGGCAATGCCATTTTCACCTTCCCAAACACACCCATCAAATGTGCAGGTGCTCCACAAAAGATAATGTATCTGGCAGAAGAGAGGTTTAGACAGGTCAGCACTCTGGGAATTTGTTTTTACCTTCGCCAAAGAGTGAATGACTTTGGTTCTGTTAGTTTGTCTGACTATTAGCAACATTAGGCATAAAGTTATGGACAGATTTGATGGAAGTTTTCAGGATAGGTCTGATCCATTAATCATTCAGTGGTTAATTAATAAGTTAGACCCCATTTCCATAGATTTTAGATCGATCTATCCCTGTGGGGAGTCTCACTTGATTACTGTCAGCTTAGCCGGCTTAAGCGTCTGTCCCACCTACTAAAAGCTGTAAGGGGGTAATTAACTATGGTGCGCGCTCGGCTGACTGCAATTTAACGTGAACCCCCAGGGAGTAAGGTCGATCTAAATCTTAATCCCTGGATCGATCTAAATCTCTGGGAATACACCCTTAATCATTTTCTTGGCAAAGCTCTCTCTCTGAGCACTTTTTTAGATCATAATGAAAAGAAGGATCTGAGGTCTGCCTGAAAAAAGATTTGATTAAATATGGTATACATGAAAGGAAAATATAAAGCACTATAAATAATTTTGGAAATAAAAAATAAATTATATCAAAACATGAATGCTTTCAGAGAGGTGTTCGAGACAAAGCAACTGTGATGTTCAACACATCATTGGGTGTGATTTTTGGTGTTAAGAAATATGCTGATGCCTTGTTGAAAGTTATCGAAAAAAGGTAAGACCACACAAAATTTCAGATATTTCATATTTAAATGGACTCCATGGTGGGGCATAGTTAACATTAATCACATGAGATATTTTTCTGGTTTATTGAATGAGTTGAAACTCTTAATTGCAACTTTTTCCATAGCATTGGTAATAAGATGGCAAGAAGATTGGTTAAAAATCAAATTGCTTACTGTATGTGCAGCACTATTATTTATTCATGTTCATGTAGCAAACGTTTTTTTTTTTTTTTTGCATTTTTTGTGGATGATTTTTATTTCATTCAGAGATATCAAAGTGAATTACAAGAAGAATTTGATTGAAGTTCGCCCGGGTAAAAAAGAAGCTGTATTTGAAAATTTGGACAGCACCACAGGTCTAGGGGAGACACAAACTGTCCAAGTGAGAGGATAAATTACTCCATTAGTCCACAGAAAATGACATTCTCAGATATAAAGTGAAACTCTTTGCTCTGCTTTTACTAGGCATAGCAGAGATTTTTTATGGAATGGATATGATTTACTTTATAAGATTGAAAATTCTGAATATTCATGAGGTTAAACAGGTGTTGATCACATTGTTACTGTTACGAAGTATTTCTTTCTGTGCATCATCACCAAAATCAGTTTTCAGTATTTTTAGATTTGAAAACATTGATTTATTTTATATTATCAGTATTCATTCATGCACATCACGCCACCCATGTCAGCGCCAGATGTTCTGCGTAATAGTCCCCTAGTGGATCAATCAGGCTTTGTGAATGTCAATAAGAATACACTACAGCATGTGGAATTTTCTAATGTCTTTGGTATAGGGGACTGTACCAATGTCCCCACATCAAAGACAGCAGCAGCAATCTGTAAGTTGCTTTGATAGTCTGTAAAGAGAGGAAACACTTTTTACAGAAAATGTACGATTTCAAAATTTTGATTTGATTGCAATAGTGCTTCTGTATCTAAAAAAAATGAGTACTCAGATTTCAAATTTCACAAATATATTTCACTTAAATCAGTGTCCAGGGTGAGTTTCACTGAACCTCAACACACATTAACCGGGTGCTTGTAACAGATACATTTTACCATAGTAAAAGCAATTTTGTGTTCATAACATTTTACTTCAGCTGGGCAGTGTGGCGTCCTTAGAAAAAACTTATGGGAGGTCATGCAGGGCAGAGAGCCAGAGAAAGAGGTCAGTTCTGACTCTGTTGATACATTTAAATTCTACCCTGTGGACTATAATTTTAATTTTATGGGAGAAACACAGCATTTTGTACAAGGATGTGATTACCTGACAAATATTTGAGAAAGGTAATGAAATTCATATATCTTTTTACTGTAAAACCGTATATAGCATATGTTAAATATTTAGCATTTGTTAATCAGAAAGGAATATGAAGTAGTAGAAAACTTGTGGATGAATTATGAGGGATAATTTCATCTTTCACATGGTCCCTCTTGGTTCAAATTTTCAGTATAATGGCTACACCTCCTGTCCTCTTATTACTGGGTACAAGTCCTGTATCCTGGCAGAGTTTGACTTTGCTGGCAATCCTCTGGAGACCTTCCCAATCAATCAGGGGGTGGAAAGACGTTCCATGTTCCACATGAAGAAAGATGTCATGCCACAGATGTACTGGAAGTTTTTGCTGAAGTAGGTCCAAATTTTATTATTATTTTTTTCTATAAAAATATATATTCTATTTCAGAATGTTACAAATATTGACTACAGGTGTGGGAAAGTTGCAATGTGCTTAGTCTTCAAAGTTCATTTAAGTTGAAAGTAAGGTTGCAAATAAAAAAAAAAGAGCACCATTTGATTGTTTGTCAATAAAATAAAAGCTGGAATTTTTATCAGAATTTAGAGAAGACTTTAATAGGTGATTTCTATAACTGGTGGGCCCCAAAAAATATATATACATATTTATATATATTTTTCCACACATCAGTGAGTAATATCTTGATTTTATTTCAGTGGATACTGGGAAGGACCAGACATTCCAAGAAAAATTATGCACTTGGGGCTCAGCCAGTAAAAAGAGAAATAAGAAGATATGTCCAAAGCACAATATCTAGTTTTAAACATTTTAGTTCATTGAATAGTGTGACACATATCAAGTGGTTTCATGGTTAGCTTATATTACTTCTATTTTTCTATATGGTTATCATATCAACTACAGTAATTCTATGCATTGGATTGAAAAAGGAAAGGTGATATTTTATAATTATGATTTCATATCAGGCCATTGTGATTGGAAACATTTGGCAGCAGTAGTAAGTCAAGTTTATCTTAAGCTACTATGCATTGGAAGTGTTAATTAATTTGATTTAATCAGCAGTAGCAGTTTATCCTTCATATCGATTGCTGTGTGAATTAATTTTTATATGTGGTAATGAATGCAGTATTAAACACAAATTAAAAGAATGGCAATGACCATTAAACCTTTGATGAAGCAATGATGTGACACAATTTATGAAATGTAAGGATGCTGGAAACCAGTGTCAGAAACTTAACGTTTACTGCTTCATGCAATTAAAGCAAACCAGCAGACCCAGTATGCCCCACTGATGTTGGTCAAAACATATAAAACAAATTTTCTCAGGTTCACTCAGCAGTTTTGCCAAATAGGTCTTATATTATTATTTATATATTATTATTTTTCAGTGTAGACCTAGCACAACGCACAGTTTATTTCAGCATTATGTTTTCACAAAGAAGCCAAAGGAGAGAACAGCATTACATACCAAGAAAGCAGCACAAAGCACTTGAAAAGCATTGGGTTTCCAGGTTGAATTTTTTCTTTTACAAGTTCAGTTTATGTTACCTTATCAGAACACTGTTATTGTTATCTTGTGTGTTTAGTTTGAAGAAATTCCAAAAGCAGTGGACTGCATTTTTCAAAAGCTTTATCAGAACACTGTTATTGTTATCTTGTGCGTTTAGTTTGAAGAAGTGCCAAAAGCAGTGGGCTGCATTTTTTTTTTTTTTTTTGTATAATAAAGATCTTTCAGGCACAAACAAAAATTTACAATACATTTAAAGGACAACTCAGTGGGTTAGATTAATGTATAGAAGCAGGTTCTATGTAAAACTTTGATCAGATTTGTGTTTTGGGAGATTGTTTATTATTATATGAATAAGTCTGGGTCACAAAAGCCCTGTTAAGACAACTAGAATAAAGAATTAGAAAACGAAAACTATTTATCATGATTTCGGAGCACAGCCAGAAGTACTTCCGGCTCAAGGTCACGACCTCGATTTTCCCACGCTTACGACCAATCACAGCCGGCTTCAGTCAGAATGAGATAGACGTCACGACTACACAGCGAAACTTGTCAGACATGTAAGTGCCGCCTGTCCATCTTTTCGGTACATGTACCGATCAAAAACAGAAAACGTAAAGCCCAAAACGCTCTTATACACGTAACCAACTTTGTATGAGCACAAATATTGTCATTTATTGTGAACAGGATAATATGATAATCAGACACACTTGAGACCTGTGAAGCGCATACTCACGTGTCGAGGAGTAGTTTCGCCATTGCCTCGTATGTGAGTCCTAACTCAGCTTTAAGTGTCCTCCACCGCCCCACCTCCCTCCCAACATACACAGTCTTAGTGCTTCTTCGTCTGTCTCTAATTTTCTCTCGTATCTTTCGAACTGGAGTGGCTATTTTCTTTCGCCCCCTTTTGTCGCTCTCCTGTTCAGACTTGACGCGCGTCTGAGCCATGTTTGCTGTTTTGGCGCCAAATAGTAACATCCGGGTCTCAGCCGTAGTACTTCATTCATAGTAAACGGCGAGACTTAGCGAGAAATTGCGCGTTCTGAAGCCGTACTGTGAGGTGGTAGCTGAGTATTTAAGACGAGTCGTCTTTTATTATTTAATGGAACTTAAAAACGGTATTAGGTAGCTTCATTTTCTGAACGGTTTTGGATAGGATATACCTTGGTCATTATGGGGAAATTGGTGAGTTTTCCAGGAAAATTCATTTTCGTGCTATTTTAAGGGTTTAACGCGCTGAGACTGCCTTTAACAAAATGTCTGATAGTGGGACATTTAAGCATCCTTTTATATTCAAGTATCAGAGTAATATGAAAGTTATGCTTCCAAGCTTTTATTAACAGTAATATAATCAAAATGTCTTGCTTTTTGAGTGTTTATTCAATTGTGAATTTCTTTTTTCAGTATTATTGCTCTTCATTTGTGCCATATTATTATAGCAAGTCTGTTTTAGAAAATTTTGTAAAATGCAGGTGGTTCATATTGAACTTTGTATTCAAAAGAAGTGTCCCAACAACTATTTTCTATGAGGTGATTTCAGTCTGACAGATTCTTTAAATTAATAAAACCATTTTTCTTGTTTGTGCAGTGTTCTTATTGTGCCAATTTTACCCCCCTGATGATCTGTGGTAACTAATCTATTAACAAGTGTATCATAGCCAGGGGCTTCAAAAGGGGGGAGGGGTCTTTTTCAGAAAAAGTGGACCTTTCACCATAAAACCTAGGACCTTTTCTAAGCAGAAAGGGTGGCTCCTTCAGACCTACCCTGTCTACAGGCCTGAATTTCATGTGATGTTTTCTGCACAATTTCAAGTGTAAATCGTGCCAGAAACAAAGGGATATGATAAAATTTAAAGATTAACAATTCCATAGAAAAAGGAGAAATACACCCAGCCAAAGTCAATCCCTAAGCTGAGCTTTAGTTCTGTGAGCCAGCATCTTCATTTTCAATTCCACATGTCAGTGAGACACTACACTTCATTCACTTATGTAGAAATTTGAACAAGAAAAAGCTTGCCAACTTCAAATGTCAAACCCTAAACTTCCATGATACATAAGTGTCCATTTCAATAAAAACCGTTACAGTTTAATTGATATGTACTTCTCACCTAAGCAAGACCAGCAGTTTCAGTATTATCTATCTGCAGACAGTGTTTAAATGTATACTCTTGTCAACAGCAATTTAATGGTGTAACAATTCGCTATATTCTGGCACTTTTTACAGTATTCCTGCTCACAGGCCACAGCAGTCCTCAGTAAAGCAACTAACCATCTGTAGACAGTATCTGTATGCATCCCCACCCATAGCAGTCACTGGTAAAGCAACTGGCCTCTGCAGACACTACGTGCATCCCGAAATACAGCACTGTAAGGCACAACATCCTACTGAATGATAGCTGCCAAATTAATCAGTCTGCTGCTTTCTTTCAGTTAGGAGTAGTGCCTTTAGGAATCATCTTTTCAAAAAACTAATTTTGTGTCTTCTTGAATCTGGTCACTGCTTGGACTACACAATCACTGTGGTTCCTGTTAGCAGATATCCACCAGTACCAGACATGTTAATATTTGGACGAGTTCTTCCAGGTAGGACCTGCATAAGATTAAGAATAGTAGTATTTAGTACTACCAAAGGCAGAAAAGAGCACCTCTATCCTCTGCTTAAATGACAATAAAATGCATTCAAGCTGTGTTGCTTTATGTGCAAAACTTTAATTACTATAATTGTGCTTATTGGGTCACAATAATTTAAAGCAATAATAACTCTTCATTTGAGATTCAAAATTCTGCAAGAAATACATTGTAAACAACGCATGGAAATATATTCTATTGTATTTTACCACTAAAACGGCCTTTATTGTAGTAAAACTAAAATCTGTGCTTGTCAATAGGGCTTTCGATGCCTTTCTTCCCGGTCGTCAAGGCATCCCTTGCTAATGACGTAAGGGTGTCACGCGGATTCTCACTTTCATTCGAGACCAAAATAACATGGCGGGAAACGCATTGATGCAGATGCAGATGTAAGTTGCGAGTTTTTGTACAGTGCGTCGGATAGCGAAAAGCCCAGAATGGCACACATTGTAGATATAAATGCATTTTTAACAAAAAGACGAATATATCTCATAAATCTTATATTATTGTTATATAGTGTTGTTGTTGTCTGCTTTTCCCGCGGTTTTAAGTAGGTCACCAGTGACTATGCAATGTCAGAGAGTGCTCCGTCAGTTAAAATCTCTTAAGAGATTTTAACAAAAAACCGTACGTTTAGGAAAAAAAACCTGGATTAACTTTGAATGCAGGAATGGGGTCGTTGACCATTGGTAAGTACGGGAAAATTGCGTTTCTTTCCAGGAAAATCCAATTTTTGGCCACAACGAAGAGTTATTATGACTTTAAGCCAAGATTGCTAAGTTTCACACTTTTTGAGGCTCTGGAAAAAATAGTCGTACCTGATATTCCCTAAGCCATGTCTCTGTCAGTGTCAGATGTACCACTCCTCCCCTCTGCCTTAGCTTTACAAAACATTCCATGAGAGGCTGAAAGAAATAACAGAAATGATGAGAAGTAATAAATAAATTATCATAGTGCATTCCAAGTCTTGCACCAAAGATATTCCATAAATGTGTCTATTCAGTAAGGACTATTAAACAAACTTTAGATGTCAGTACATAAAAACAATACATAAACACTGAAACCTGTGTGTGAATTTACACAGACATGCAAATACACATGCACACACAGTACATCATTATAATTTTTTCATTCACTACAAAACACACACTCATAGTATCTTTCATACACACTTCTCATATCATTTTTGGCAGCATCTTTCCTTTCATCACTATTAACATACTTTTCATATTTAAGCAAAAACCCATACTTTCCCCAATCAACACATTATTGACACTTGCCTCCTGGTACTGACAGTAGACAACAATAGGTCTAGATGGCGCCACATACTCCATTAGGCTCATTACTATAGGGGTTGGGTTGAGTTTACAGGCCACCAAGAGTCTGGAAAATATAGAAAAAATTGCTGCCAATAGTAGTTCTTCTCAGAATACTTTAGGAATGAGGAACAGAAACATGACTAACGTTCACCCTCACATAGGAATTTCCAATACCAAGTATGAAATAAATGTGGCATCTATATTTCTTCTAGATGAACTAAAAGAAGTGTTATGTCAACATTATTAATCCAAGTTTTTAGATGAAAACAAAAGATAACAGATTTTGCAACCTCCAATCCATAAAGAAAATAAAATGACACTGACTAATCAAATCACACTTAATTTCCTACCCATCCATATTTCTCTCCAGCAAAATTTGCCTGGATTTCTCTAAATGCTGCTGCTTTAATTGTCTCTTTGCATTTCTTTCTTCCTAAAAAAAAAAAAAAAAAAACGGTTTGTAACAAAAATGTTATATTCATTATTTCAGGAATGTCAATAGTGTATCAATGTAATTGGCACTTTAAAAACCCAGACTCAAGTACTTCACGAATTTTTCAAAATGATCTGCTGAAGTGTTCAAATAAGAACTTGCTGGCATATATGGAATTATTGTTGTACCTCCAGTTTTCTTTTGGCAATCTGCTGACATGATATAGCACCTTTCCCTTCTTGATTTTCCTCCTGAAATTACATACAGTGAAGCATAATTTATTTCTGCAATAGAATCTTTTCAGTGAAGCCTACTTTTTAATTCAGCATTATGAATTTCTATTCCACTGTTTGCATGAAAAACTTACATTTTGTGTTTCACTTTCTTTGCTTACGTCTCTGTCACTAGAAAGTCCATTTTCATTTTCAGTGACTGTATCTTCTTCAGTTTCTTCCTTTTTCAGTTCAAATTCTGAAACACCCTCCTTTGGTACGTCTGATATGTCTTCTATATTTTGTTCTGATGTTTTTCCTCCATAATTCCCAAGTAACAATGGCTCTGTTTTCACTTGAACTTCAGAAATATTCTTATTATGCTGCCTTATTATTTCCCCTTCCTCAAGACAGTTAACCTTGTTTAATGGGAATGCATGAAGACTGTCATAAAAATGTTGTGGGAAATTGTATGCTTCTAGAGTCTGCCTGAATGAGAAAAAGAACACCATCAGTAACTTAAGTTATACTTGGCATGTATAATTTGTGAATGAAATAGATTAACAAAATCCCCATGTCCTTACACTTGAACATAAACAACATATCTCGCACATATTACACTCACAGACATTTACATATTAAGCATTCCATATTTCTTTACTGATACAATTACAATTTGATAACAACAGAATACATGGAGATGATATACCTGTATGTGTACAATTACATATTAAAAAACAAAAACAAGCACTGCTTTCATACTACTTACCTAACTGGTGCTGTACCTGTATATAGCTGAACCACAGTTCCATAACCTTTAAATGATAATATAAACATATAAAACCAGCTTTAAAGTGTTCATTGATAGGAATATAACAGGTAAAAATACAAGTGAAAAGCGCACATTTGTGTCCTTAGGGATTGCGCACTAAGTAAATACTAGAAGATTTTATGTTGCTACCAAGACCTACCTCCCATTTTCTCCATGACTGCCCCTAGTACCAACCCTCCACATGTCTCTACCACCATCAGCTTACTGTGAGCACGCACATTACCATAGACCAACATCTGGGACAGAGAGTCCACTCTTAGATTGCTGAAATTACAATATGATGCCTTGGTTGCCTTATTTTTTTTCAAAGAATATCAAATAGCCATTTTCAATTTCAGAAACAAGTAGTAGGGGGTCTGAACAACATGAAATGGACAACAACATGTTATCATACTATTTTCAATTCCATGTTCAGAAACAAAATAAACACAAGTGCAAAATACTCACCATATTTTTGAGGGTCCTTTATTGTAGTGCATCTCACAGAGAAGTCTGGTGGTGGGCTTCAAAACGGTAAACACATTTAAATGTCTGGAAAATAAAACATGTGAATATAAACATATCAATGTAGTTTCCTTCATTGCTATCATGTACAAAATAAGAATAAAATCACCTCTCTTCATCAAGAAAAAAAGAGTAAAAATTCTCATAACACAATGCAATACAGACAAAATCAAATAATAATTACACTGCGAAATTCAAGGAACACATTTCATGTGTCTTTAGATTAACTGATTTTGCCCTTTAAGGAAAACATAAAAAGAAACAATGCACTTACTTTTTCTTCTTCTTTTTGATATATTTTTCCTGAGCAAATTCAGTCTTTGTCCTGAATGTTGAACTGTTCTCAACAAGAGTCTCCACTATGCTCTGAAATTTGAATGATCAAAAATTTGAAGCATGAAAAATAAAAAGACTAAAATGATATCTAAAAACAAACTTTTTGCTTAACTGGGCAAGTCTATCAGTATCAAATAGCAAAAACTATCCACTTTTTGACTTTTGTCCAAGGAGGCATTCCCAATGAAACTATGATTCGACAGTATATAGATCGATCCAACTACGCAGAGACTCTCACTGAATGCAATCAGATTTACTGAAAGTCAGGAATTAACTTTATTTTCTGCTAATCTTTTGGAAGCTTTTTCACTTCATTCTGAGTACAACTTAATGGCTCAAGAAGACATGTCATTCAATTAATCTGACTGCATTCAGCAAGAGTCTCCGCAGAGCTGAATCTATTTATGTAGAACAATAGTTTCATTGGGAATGCGACCTTACACAATTCACAATGATAAGTATATATGGCTTGTAAAAAGTATGTGACCATGCAGAAATGACAAACTCAACATATCTACCTCTCCACTGACTCCCTCTTTCTTCATCTTATAGATTTCTTCTCTGGAAAGCTTTTGGTTTGAACGGCAGTCATTAAGATTTCTGTTGTCAATACCACTAGTTCCATCTATCAAAACAAATGTATAAATAAAGATCGTATAAAATAATATTATTAGCAAAATGAAAAAAAAAATTTTTTTTTGCTCATTTGTTTTACAGTGGGAAATGGCAGTAGAGAAATGCTTAAGTTGGGGTGACTCCCCTGTTGTAAATAACCCCTTTAATGCAGCCCTTCAAGACATGCATATAGCTATTATTAACCAGAAACTTGTGCTTACCAGCATCTTTTTCTTCTTCCGAACTTTTTCTACTAAGCCTCACCATTTGACCATTCTTCACTTCAAATGTAGTGCCATAGGGTTGTCCAATCAAACCATTTAATGTGAATTTAATTTTCTCCATCCAGAAAGGTCTATGGGAGTAGAAATATTGCCAATATCAAACTGTAGTCTCAATGACAGATTTTCTAAAAATTGACCCAATATTTGGAAAGTGCTTAATATACTGGCTCCCCAGCAATGTGCTTTGTGAAAGCAAGAATATAGTCTCTTTGATAGGTATATCAGAATGCACTAGGCACCTCATTTAACAACCTATACAAAATTTTTCTACACCTAATTTTTTATACTTTGTGAAAATATAGAACATTTGTGATCTTATGCAACAATTAAACTCCATGAAAATTGATAAAGGCAAAGTATGTTTTTAAATTGGCACAAAAGCACTCAGTGGTCACAGCTTTCTGGCTAAGATGGGACGACACATTTGCCATAACATCACTATTTAAAAAACTGTGATATTTCCTTTAATTTTAGAGATATTATCAAAATTCCAAAAGTATAACATTCTGAATAAAAAGACCTTTCAGAAGATATAACTTGAGTTTACATCTTGCACATTGTAATTTTTTCTGATATAACTACCTTTGAAGTACAATGCTGCAGCTAAATTGGCAGTCATAATAAGACAGATAATAAATACCAAATTGCAAATATATTTATTTAGTCATAATGCTATGGGTTGTTTTTTGATTCAAAGTCACACCATAACACTATAATTTAAATAATAATAATAATAATAAACATTGAAAATCGAAGGCTAAGAAGATTGCGGCATACTGCATTAGTGCCGAATATTCCTTATTGAATTTAATTACACTGCACTTAACACGCAACTTTGAAAAATATATGAAATGAATAAATAATTCATTATGGACAGGCCCGCTGCCTCTGAGATAAATACATGCTGTGCATGCAGTACACTAACAAAATGTTAGCATTTCTAATAGAATAAAATATTTCAGTTAGCATATCGTTACCTATTTTTCCTCACTTGCATTACTTTCAAGTGCTCTTCCTTTTTAATTATGACTTGATCATTTTCTTTTATCGTAGAATCAGTCGTTTCAAGTTGCATGTTGAAATCAAAGACCACAAGAGCAAACTCCGCTCTAAGAAAAAAACCGGAACTCGTGTGCAGAAAAGGTTGTAATAGTACACCGATGCTGCAAATTACGTTGCACTCTGTTCGCAAGTGGTCTCCAAGCACATTATTTACAAGTCGTCATGACGTCATATCCCCTGCTGAGCAGAGGTGAAGAATTTTGAAGGCTCACGAGGTTAAAATTAATGAAAATGGTGAGTTTATTACCTCTTTACTTTATTCGATGAGATGATTTGTTGCATTTTTAAAGTAAGCAAAGAGTTACTCTAAGTGAATTTTTAGATTACGAGACACCAAATAGACTGAAACTACTAGAAGAGGCCACTCATAAATTGAAAAAGTGAAGTTGTTAAGTTAGTAAAAACTTATACGTACAAAGTACAAGCACTTAAAACTCCTGTGTAGCTAACTAAAGGAACCAAGTTCAAACAGTTATAACTCCAGTGTAACTAACTAACGTTATGTTTATGTTGCCAAATTTCACTATTTAAAACATCAGGCTACTATTTAAGTATTGACAATTAAATTGGTATACCTCAGCTTACAATGATTTAAACAGAGGAAATAGGGTAAGGAGAAGAAGAAAGCAAAAGAAAAAAAAAAAAAAAAAAAAAAAAAATATATATATATATATATATATATATATATATA